AGCATATGTCTATAGGACTTTTTTTCTTAGTTTTTTACTCCTCTACACGCTCCCGAAGTTTTGCGATTTAATTTGGAAACACCCTGTATATATACAATATATATACAATATATATATGTATATATACAACCCCAAATAATGCAAATTATATCAAAATAACGTTTTATAGTCGGAGAAAAGCATAAGAGCCAAATTGGCGCATTCTAGAAGGGTGTCCAATTCCGGCGGTTCTAGGCCGGTATTTATAGTCAGTTCTAAGGGTGAAATCACACGGTGTGGAAAAAGACTGCGGAATAGAGAATGCGTCATTGAAGCAACCAATCAACGCTATTCAGCGCTATTCGGAATAGCGCTGATTGGTTGCTTAAATGACGCATTCTCTATTCCGCAGTCTTTTTCCGCACCGTGTGATTTCACCCTAAGAGTGCCGTCACATGCGGCGTAACCTGCGTAAGCGTAACCCCTGCGTATTCTAGTAATTTACTAGAATACGTTATTTTTTATTTACTAGAATACGCCATTCTGAAAGCCGGCATTCACATTGGGCGTATTTCGCGGAAGATTAGAGAAATGCGGAACTAATGCAACCAATTGCTCTGATTAGAATTTCTGTTGTACACTCTAACAGAAATGCTAAACGAATTTACGATTGGTTTTCGTAACCTACGCAACTCGAAAAGTACGCCTCATGGGGAACCGGTACTTTCTATCGCGTACATACAATACGCGTTTGTACAAATTTAGAAGAAGATAGTCTGATTTATAATGGCCGTAACCGTTAACTTATGCCGGTACCGGTAAAGTTCAACCATAGGATTTCAATGCTTTCGTTCATACGGCAAGTTAGTATGAACGAAAGCATGTGACGGCATCCTTATATTCAAGATCGTCTTAAGTTCAGCCTTGAGGTGTCACGAACTAATCAGAGGACCGCATTAGCGTCTTAAGACGTTAGGGTACGGTTACATGGGTTGGTATTTTCCATGTAACGCATATCGCGTAACCAATCAGAGGTGTTCCGCGCTTTCTGTTACGCCTGTTTTAAATTTCATCAATCACATGGACACAATTTGCGTAAAAAATATTCGCGTAACCAATCAACTGTAACATTTAACATTTCTGTTCGAATGTTTTAACAGAATAAAAAAAATATTGGTTAAATGCTATACGCTGCTGCCATTTTATGTGTCTTGTGCATTAAGGACATTTAATTCCACGTAAAGAAATTGATCAACTAGATCGAAATTTCATTTCGGTCCGAGTCTCTGTGCCTAGATAAAGTTGGAAATACAATGAAAAGCACAGGCAACAGGAACAGAAAATAACAAATTTCAACCTATCAGAAATCATATATACTAGAATGGACGCTTTCTGATAGCTTGAAATCTCTTATTCCCTGTTCCTATTGCCTGTGCTTTTCATTGTGTTTCCGGCTTAACAATAGATTGATTCTCGGGAATGGTTTACTTATACACTGCATTCAGTACTACAACCGCTCACTGAGCGCTCAGTGAGCTCTTGCATCTGATTAGCATATTCCGTTAGAACTAAAAATATAGATTAAACAGATTCAAGAGCTCACTGAGCGCTCAGTGAGCGATCGTAGTACTGAATGCACTTACTGTAACAATTGCCCACTGCCAGTCACAGTGGCTACGTTTACACCGTGCGCTTAGTCCGCGACCTATACGATAGATGTGTTTGTTTAATATACAGGATAAACAAGGACATCTATTGTATAGGTCGCGGCCTAAATGCACGGTGTAAACGTAGCCAGTGACTTCTGCATAGGAAGTTTTTTCTTATTTTTTTTTTCCTAACGCTGTGATCGGTTTATACGCTATTGGCTGCGTTCAGCAAACTCAACAGTTTGCAACCGTTTTATGATTGTCTGCTGAGATAGGACCATTCTTCTAGATCTAAAAGTATGATCCAATTAGCGCGAAGGAAACTTCCAACAGTTGCAAAACAAACGTTCTGCTGAACGCAGCCATTGGCTCGTGTGCAATTGATATATGCCCTTGATTTTCTTAGTTAATGGGAGATACGTGCACTCGTGGCTGCCGTTTTTGCTCAGTTAAAACTGCACGTAAACCACCACCGTTGGATGTAGAGGAGCCCATCAATACTGCTAGTGCAGTAGCTGCCTGGAATTTGGATTATATTGTTTTAACATCCGTGGATCGTGATGGTTAGTTACGAATCAATGGTCGTGTTCGGCAGAATATTTATTTTGCAATTGTTGGAAGTTTTCTGCATCCTGATTTGGTTATATCTTTAGATCTAAAAGTATAATCCAATCAACACTTCCAACAGTCTAAGAAAATTTCCAACAGTTGCAAACTAAACATATAGTTGCTGAACGCAACCAGTCATAGATTATAAAATTAAATTATACTATTATAGTCGGATTTTATATTTAGGGCCGATTGTTCCAACTTCTTGGTAAAGTTTACCTGTTAGTTTATTAAGTAGCAAGATTATTCAATCACGTGCGCGGATTGCCAGATTTACGGCAACTACAGGTAAACTGTACCAAAAGATGGAACAATCAACCCTTAAGATCTTAAGTGTAGTCTTAAGGGCTGCGGCACAGACTTTTGCACAAGGCATAGTGCATAAGAGAATCAACCAATCTGAATTCTTCCTTTCCTTTCACTTAACGGAAAAGAAGAACTTTGATTGGTTGATTTTCTTATGCACTATGCCTTATGCAAAAGTCAAGAAGACTAGAACTAAGGAGAGTCAATTCGTGCCAATAGCGGTAGTGGGGGTGAGGCAAAAAGTGGCGACGGATAACTTCCCCCATTCTTGCGCTTCATTAGTCCTCTCTGTCGCTCTATATAGTTGTCGCTCTATCGTTCTATAATCGTCACTTTGTCGCTCTTATATCGAACTTCCACACAATGCGCAGTGCTGCTGCACATCGTGTGAATAGCCGCGGACGTTTTTTGACTCACCCCCACCACACGAGTTGATCCTCCTTAGTTCTAGTCTTCTTGGCAAAAGTGTATGCCGCGGTTATTAAGATGTCATGAATACCGCCATTACCGTCCATAGATCCAGAATTCAACGCGTCATTTATCATTTCAGATTTAAAGGATGGTGGAGCTAACCATATCGCATCTACTGTTAAGGAAATAAAAAAGAGGTATTTTATATATATCTGCTGTTTTATTTTTTTTTATTTAATAAAACGAATCAAGCGATCAGTGTTCAAATCATATAGCATTAGAAATATTTCATGTTTCGTTATAGGAGCAATATACTGGTGGAATGTTTGGTACCAGACTTCAGAGGTGATGAAAATTGCGTCGCCACGATTGTCAATTCTAATCTGGATGTGTTTGCACATAATATCGAAACCGTAGAACGTTTAACTCCCTTTGTTCGTGATATGCGCGCTCGATATAGGTACACATATAATGTACCCTTATAATATTTATACAGGGTGTCCTGAATTTAAATGGCCAAATCTTGGGAGCGTGTAGGAAATCAATAAACTAAAAAAAGTCCTTTAGAGAGATATGCTCGTTTTTGCTTCGTTTTGGAGAAAATTGCAGAAACAGACAAAACGTTTCGATTTTTGTACGTATTTATTACTTATTCATTCACACCTTTTTATTCACATTGTCACTTGCTTAATGCAAACATTGTTCAAAATGTTGCAGCAATGCATGCATTGCATCTTGTATGAATAGCTTGTATTGCAGCCAAACATTGATCTGATCAACGTAATGATTCGTCGATCCGGCACTCTTCTGTCTGGAAATCGGCGCGCACTGCCTCTGAAGCATTATCGTTGAAGTCGTACGTGAAAATAATATTTCGTTTCCCAATGAAAACGTTTATGTTTGTTCACATATCTGCCATTCTCCTATTATAAATAAATTCGTCAGTTACTCATCAAAAGCCATCGAGTGAATTACTCCCGTCGCAATACGCGGCGTACATAATATTCCAACATTGAATATGCTGATATGATTTTCGTGTACGATTTCTGCGACGGTAATGCTAAAGAGGCGATGCGATAGTATGCATGACGATTTCCAAACAGAAGAGTACCGAATCGGCAAGTCATTGTCTAGACGTTGACTTTCAATAGACTGCAAAAGATCAGTCATTTTTATTTCAGATCGGCAATCTTTAGAAATTAATATTCCGTCAACTATTGCAAAAATTGCAAAATTGTTAAGGACTTTCCGACTCGGTTTTCATCAGAAATAGCGCTATATGATTCGTGGGCGGACTTTAAAAAACACCCTGTATATATATTCATATACATAGATACATATTTATTAATAATACTTACGTTTGTTAATTCGAATTAATTTGTTGTTTATTATATACAGGCAGTCATTGGCTGTATTAAAAGCGGCTAAAAAGTTAAACCCTGATTTAATTACGAAATCGTCGATAATGCTGGGGCTAGGTGAAACTGATCAGGAAGTCGAACAAACTATGAAGGATCTAAAAAATGCTGATGTGAATGCTATAACATTGGGACAGTACATGCAACCTACCAAAAGACACTTGAGAGTCATCGAGTATATAACACCTGAGAAATTTAAAACATGGGAAAATATGGGTAATCAACTAGGCTTCTTGTATACTGCCAGTGGTCCATTAGTTCGGTCATCTTATAAAGCCGGAGAATACTTTTTAACAAATATACTAAAACAACGGAAGAAACAGCAGATTGATGACCATGTTACGTCGTGAATGAAAAATACGGAAGTGTAGATGATAAATGTTTAATCGCGATACAAGATAGGAAATCAATATAAATAATGAATTTGGAAACACTACGATAAGAAATCACAATCTAATGATAAAATGATCTGAATAACATATATTACTGTTAATAAATTGATAATAAATGTTCTGTAGCCTGTAGTAATTCACAAATAAATTGAGATATTTAATCAGAAAATGCAGATTTATATATAAATTGAATGCATATGAAGTCCAAAGTTTATATATACTAATTTAATCCGTGTCCATGGCGATGGCGACTTGAGGATCCTGAGGACCTTCGTCGGTTGGCGGATCTTGCGGAGGTTTGTCATCTTGCACAGCTGGTTCGGTAGGTCTTCCGCGTTTATCATCTCCTTCAATCTGGGACAAGAAAACAGCTGTCGTGGTTTCGTTGAGAATAGTGAAATCATAATCCTTTCCTACTATCCCAATTGATACATTCTGAAACATAAGCGAGATTTAATGTCCCCTTTTCAAATCAAAATTGATTCTTAGAATTAAGTATTAATAAGATTCTTATGGCAGATATTTTACTGCACATACTGCATATAACAATATGCAGTATATGTATTTCACAACCATTATATCATATACCACTAGCATATTCTGGAGTAAAAAATTCTAATATGGAATGGAAATATCGAGATCAAATAATTTTTGAATTATAACCTATGAAAAGCCGTATAAATATGGTCTTTGACTATGCTATGTTTACATGCACACCTTTAATAACATCCGTAGTTAGAAACTGGCCAATCACAGTCGTCCCATTTTTCAGAGAAATAGCTATGACTGAACAGTTTCATAACTATGGATGTTATTAACCCAATTAAGAGTATCTGTGTAAATGTACTCATTGCTATTGCATGTACGCAATCACACGGACAGACAACTTTTTAACCAACGCTTATGATTAATCACATTTTAAACGTTTATACTAAAAAAATTACTTTATGGAAAAAAATGGCTTACACCTTTATTACTTAATTTTTCACAAAGTTTCACGCTGTAATAATATTATCTTCGAATTTCGGAACACCGTATATGTACATTTTTCTTCATATCAATTAATTCATCTCATTATTCTGTACATAAAAGTATGAACGCGTAGTTATCGAGAACTGAATAGTTTACAAGATATTTTATGTCAAAATGTACCAAAATAAATATTTCATAAACTATTAATTTTTCGATATCTTTAGATGCTTAGTAATTTGATGAACAGAATTAGAGGAATCATACTAAAATAAAAATCTTACAACCCATTAAAAAAAAAAAAGTATAGCCATATCCTTTATATGACCATGGAAAATCGATTTTTTCAAAAATTGATTTTACACTATTTGTGCTCTGTCAAGCCATACAATTTTTGTCTGAATGAACATATCTTTGATTCAATCTTGTTCTGCAAAGATAAAAGAAATGATAGACTAAAATGGGATACCCCGTATAAATAAGTTAGATCATGGAATAACATATATGACGTTGTATGAGAACAATTGATTCAATCTGTGAATCCTGGGTTTCTAATCCTCATCCCATGTAAGCCTTCGTTTTATAAAGTTATTGAAAAATTGAAGATCGTAAATGAAAGAGCATGACAATATAATTAATTCCAGAAACCTATTTTAATAAGATATGAGTTAGATATTATCAAGTCTCTACTCACTTTCACTGATAAATCAACTTCGTTAGGTAAAGTGTCACGTAATGCTCTAAGGCCATGCTTGACTAACTCGTCAAGGTCGCATGATAAGAATTCATTTAGGTGTTTTTCTAAATATGTCCTTGCACTTTGGGAACGTGCCCCTATAGCCATCGCTTTACAATCGAAGTAATTTGCAGATGGACATGTCTGATATATATGCGGTCCTTTATCCTAGAAAGTGACTATTATTAAAGAAACATGTTTAGCATATACTGAATTATACATCATTTTCAATAAATTCTCACATCATATCCAGCTACGAGTAAACCTACGCCATATGGGCGTCGATCATATCTTTGCGTACAAGTTTGCATTTTATTTCCTAAAGATGTAATCAGACGACTTACAGGTAATGCATGGTCATGAGCATACTTGTAATTCAGACATTCAGTTCGCATATAACGGCTGTGAAAAATAATTTGCTTTTAACTGCCATTATGCGCATTGAAACACCTTGTATTCTTACTTTCTCATGCATAAACTTATATCTGTATGTGTAGGCTGTAGTAGCTATCAATTAAAACTATCATAGTATAGCAACAAACATTATAAGGTACAGACAGATATCATAAAATTTAAAAATAATATACCTATTTTTTCTTTATTAAAACGTGTTAAAAATACTTGTGCTTAAAATATTAATATTTTTATCAAAAACATTAATAATTTTTTACCAATTTAAAATAACTTCAACAGGAGAAACCAATAAATTGCATAATGTAACAAAATAACAGATGTTAGGGTCTATTCATGGCAAAATATAATAATAGCATAGTGGTGGCAAACTTTACTATAGCGAAAGGATTAAGACATAATCAAAATGGATATCTTATCTTATTACATACAAGGGTATTGTATCCTTTAATAAAAATGAAGAATGGAATAAGAAAATCAGCAAATAAAGTACCTCAATATTCTTGCATCAGCTGTTAAACCTGAGATACTAATTCCCATGTGTTTATCTATCGGTATGATTTTTTTCTGATGAGCTGATAATTCCGACGATGCTCTTTTCAGTGCAATAAGAACAGCATGTGTTTTACTCTTAAGACCTACAGTAGCTGAACCTAGTTTCACAGCTTCCATAGCATATTCTACTTGATGTAGTCGTCCTTGTGGACTCCATACTGTCACATCACTATCGTACTGATTGCGGAACTAAGAAACACATTCAATAATCGAATTAATAGAAATCATTTGCATATTTAAAATCAATTAATACAAGTATTTGTGTGAATACTCTGTGTGTGTGTGTGTGTGTGTGTGTGTGTGCGCGCGCGCGCGTGCGCGCGCGTGTGTGTGTCGTGTGTCATCTTCAAATATTATTCAATTTAAACAATGAACAGCGTTACATACACTTTTCGTCTCTTAAGATATACTTTTTATAATATTTTTTCTCTATGTCTTTAATCGATAGTTATATGTATTTCTACATTACTATGTGTAAATATACATAACCAAAAAAATAGTTGTTTTGTGATTTATAATTTCTTTACAATGATCATTAAAATAGAAATATCGAAATACAGTGTACCGATAATTAAATGAATATTTACCATTTTTAATATTAATCCTCTTAATTGGAAAAATAAAGATAACAAACACTTATTACTCGATTAAATACGCAGGTTTCGTGAACTAACAAAAGATACTTGTCAGCACAGAATATATATTGTTAGGCAATGATATGCAGTACTATCACTACCATTAACTACGCAATGCATATATGTACAGCATAGTGGTAGAAACTAGAGACCCCTGATAGGCCTAGTTTACATCGTGAACGTATTGGTACGCGTATTAATTTTGATGCGCACCAATGCTTTAGTACGGGTGCGTTTACATCGAATGCCCATCAAATTTAATACGCGTACTATATTTTCACGATGTAGAGGAGAAAAACAATACATTATAATATATTATAATATATTTTGAGAAAATGCATAATATTGCACAAGAAAGTTTTGTCAAATTTTTTATATTTAAAAATTTACAATGTATTCGCAGAAGACGCATGATGGACATGATAAAAGCAAGGCGTCAAGCCTTAAAGCCTGATTTATAATGGCCGTAACCGTTACTTATGCCGGTGCCGGTGAAGTTCAACCATAGGATTTCAATGCTTTCATTCATACTAACTTGCCGGATGCTGGTAACTTATGCAATATCCATAAAGTTAACTCAACTTTATCTTTAGCGGCAAGTGATCATGTAGAGGTTAGTCAAAATTTACAAGTCTGCACTTGTGTGACCACTGTGATCGATTCTATATCATTTCTGTACAGCTTTGATACGAGCTAAGATGGAAATAAATGAAACAGTTAATAGAGATATCAAATTAATAACCTTAGTAGAAAGATTTACACATTTGTACGATAAATCTTTTACGGCATGCAGCAAATCATTATAAACCATCAAAATTTACGGCATAAGTTTACAGTTTTTAAGTTACCGGCATATAGTTAAGGCCATCACACGTACAAATATTTTAGTCGTAATCGTAAGACCGTAAATAAATCGGCCAATCACAATCGAGCGTTTAAAAACGGGAGATCTCAATTTTGATTGTGATTGGTCGATTTGTTTGCGACCTTACGATTCCGATTAAAATTTTTGTACGTGTGATGGCCTTTACGGCCAATATAAATCAGGCTTTATTCCGACGTTTACTAATAGCGTTTTCCACTAGGAAAACTGGTGCAGCACTAGTACCGTGCTAGGTTTATATGAAAACTGCATTATAGCATTTTCCACTGGGAAAACTGGTGCAGCACTAGTGCCGTGCTAGGTTTATATGAAAACTGCATTAGTGCAGTAATAGTGCAGACTCAGAGGAACACATGATTTTATATAATGGCTACATTTACACCGTATGTACATTTAGGCCGCGGCCTATATAATAGATGTCCTTGTTTATCCTGTAGGTTAAACAAAGACATCTATCGTATAGGTCGCGGACTAAGCACACAGTGTAAACGTAGCCATTCATATATAAAACTTTTTTACCCGGGTTATTACAAAATCTCAATCACCCGTAACTCGCCGGCTCGCGAAAAAAAAGAAGGCACGGCAGTGTCGTTGCGCTTGGCTTAGTGCCGAGACACTACTCTGTGTCTCCTGATCCTCTTGAACATCCTCGATTATTTATTAATTTTTTAATAATTTTTTATAACAATAATATTTTCAGTTTTTGCATAGTAAAATAGCTGAGCTATTTTACTAGATACGCAAAAACTAAAAATATTTTTGTTATTAATTAAAATAATAATTTAATATTATGCCTTAAAGTATGATCGTATTTGAAAGCGCAAATGCATAACCTCAATTTCAACTTGCACTGGTCTCCACTGACTTCAAAGATAGTGGAGCAAAAGTTGAACTCAGTGCAAGTTTTTTGTATCAGTTTTGTCAGTGGAACATTAAACATTGAACTGGTTTTCACAGTGGAACAACAAAATTGCACTCAGTGCGCACCAGTGTTGCACCAGTTTTCCCAGTGGAAAATGCTATTAGAAACGTCAGAGCAACATTTTTTGAACTCGTTTCAGTTCATTCGGTTGATCCGAATATAAATTCAGTACTACACTGGGAGGCCATTGTCACCAAGCTTCGATTAACTTATGCCCGTATTCATAGTCAGACCTTGTGCGTAAGGCTTCCTTAAATTTATCTTTAGATGCTCAGTAGCCAATGAAATAATTCGTAGAGCATCTGAAGATAAATTTAAGGAAGCCTTATAGCGTTTTCGATTGGGAAAAAGTTAGTGCGCACCAGTGCGCACTCAGTTCACATTAATACTGGACGAGTTCCATGGGTTGCATTGAATAGTGCAAATTCAAAAGAACACGCCAAGATTTTCAGTGCTAAAGCTGAAGTGCCATTTCGAGTTATAAGATTGTAAGGACTTGACTAGACTGCAGGAAAAACGCAGAAAATTTTAATTAATGCGAAAATCGTTTTTTTCCTACCAAACTCCGAACTCCGAAATTATTTCTCTTTACTTGGCAGTATACACAGTATATACCTGTGCTAATTTAATTATGTACCCAGCCGACGCCGACCATGGGTGCGTTCCGTTTCTTGCATGAAGCGCATGAGTATTTAGTGCATGGCATGGAGTGCAGGGTACGTTCCGTTTCTCCAATACACTCCATTAGTAACGGAACGGATTCGCAGTGAATTCATGCATTGATGAACATGGACGACAATTTAAAATTGACTAAATTACAAATGCATTCAATAATTACTGTTACATCTTTCTTTTTACAAAAGAAAAAGATTTATATTCAACCGAAATTTTCATAATATCAGAATACGCATAATGTTTCGGTAAAACCAGTATTATACTGTATATATATTATATAATTATGTATACAGGGTGAGTCATTTTAATCTATGGACCCGAATATCTTCCAAATTACGGTATCTACAAAAAAATGGTTTAGATAAAAGTTGACCAGGACAGAGGG